TTGCAAATCTCAGATCATTTGTGTGTCTTGTTAAATGTAGTGACCACCGTGAGTCCATCAAGAACTGTTCACGAACAGAGAAAGTGTGTGTGTGTGTGTGTGTGTGTGTGTGTGAGAGAGAGAGAGAGAGAGAGAGAGAGAGAGAGAGAGAGAGGAAAACTCAGAAAGAAATAAGAGGAGGGGAAGGGGGGAGAGGTGTAGCCATTTGCATTGGCAATCTCAGTTCAGTTTCCCAATGTAATGCCAGAGTTGGAAGCAAATAAATTACAACATTTGACTTAATTTTTAATTAACTAAAAGTCATCACTGCAAATTGTGTCTTCCATTACCAGAATTCTTAACTGCCAGACCTGAAATAATTAAGCAATATATTATAATTAAGAAATGTAATTTTAATTTAATTATGATATATCATGTAACTGTTTCTGATTTAGCTGACATTCGTTGAGGAAAATGCTATAATATCCAGTAACAATATGCAGCTGATTTCCCAGACTTTGTTTCAGAGTATATGGCAGTAAACAGAACCAGAAACAGTGCTTTTCTGTTTGAAAACATTCAGCTGGTAACATGCAACTAAAAACTTTGTTATGTAAATACTAGCTGTTTATGCCACACTTTCATGGAGGTGCATAGGATGTGATTCCTAGTCTGTTTTTATGGTGGACAATGTACAAATCCACTGTTTTAACAATATATAGCAGTCTTTTCTACAGTGGGAACTGAAGAGAATATTACCAGAATTTTTGTTCTCTTTGGTGTAGGCTAGCAAGCTGAGACAAATAGTGCTTTTTTTTCTTGTCAACATGTGCACAAACTGTTTCCTCACAAAATGAATCTCTTTTCACTTTGAAAAAAGCATATACACACATCAAGCACAAACAGGCTAACTATTTTGAAACAGCCAAAAGACTTCTGTGAGGCTCCTAATCCTTAGGATTTCCTAATCCTTAGGATTTTGGAGGTATTCGTGGTTTATGTCCTGGGTGGGAAGGAAGCCAGGATGTGCTACTGCAACCAAGCAGTAGCCATCTCTCTTTTCTACAATTTGCAATAGCTGAATTAAAGTATTATTTTGCATTAGGTGTTACTGGCCTCATTTTGCTTACTTGATGCAAAAGGATTGTCATTCTCCTTTTCGGTCAAGAGTGTCACAAAATCTCTCCCGCTCCCCAGCGTGAGGGGCAAGGAGAATGTTGCAATTCCTCTTTCTTGCGTGCTAAATGAGGATTTGCATCCTTATTCTACAGTCCTCTTTCTTGCGTGCTAAATGAGGATTTAGCATCTGTAGAATGAGTCAAGGTGGCACAAATGTTTGGTAGGCCATGCTTTCAACATGCATACTATTTGCTACTCCATATTTGCACAATATGTGTGGTATATTTCTGTTATCATTTACTGTCTAAGCAGCATTGTCATGGTTGCCATGCTTACCACATGTTCTGGAAGTTGTCTAAAAACTAATATCCGAGAAGATTGTAGGTAACAGCAAAGCTGTGCATCAATTCACAAAGTAAAGCTTTTTAAGTGGGGAATTGCAACAGATACAGGAGAGTGGCAGAAGAGACAGGAATCTATACTAGAACAGTGGTGCAACAAAAAGACTATTGGCTCCCGTAACTAAAGGCTTTGGGCTCCACAGTACCAGGAAAGCACACTGTAATCCAGTGGGGCTCACAGCTCTCTGGGAATCCTTAGAAAAAACAAGAGAAACATGGGATAAGGGTGGTAAAATCTCATTGTACAGTCATAAATTAAAGTTCAGCTGAAGATGGTCAGGGAAGTTAAGCAAGGGCTTCATAGAAAGGGGATCTGTAGGCAGCTGACATTTTCCAGGAAGGGAAATGGAATGTCTCTTTATCCTGTCCAATGTAACAGAAGATATACAGAGCAGAACTGAGATTTATAGTGTAATCAAGCCTCCTGCATTGTTCTTCAGGTGCAGGCTTCTGCTCCGTGCATCTTATTCTAGAGATTACAATGTGTTGAGAGGTTCCAGGGCAGCACTCGACTTTATCTGATGTAGGATTCTTTTGAAAGAATGTACACTGGAGACTTGTGGTGTGCGCATTTCTTTACAAATAAAAAAATGAAAGGCAAAAGCAAAAAACAAAGTGCTTATATACCACATTATAGTGCTTAAAGCACTCTCTCAGCAGTTTACAATTTAATTATGCAGGCTACATGTTGCCCCCACCCCTGTGAGCTGAGTAGTCAATTTATTGACTTTGGAAGGATAGAAGGTTAAGTCAACCCCAAGCCTAGGATCAAAGTTAGATCATGAGCAGAGTCTTCACTGAAGTACTGCAGTTTAACCTCTGTGCAACTGAGGCTGTTTGCATATCTGAAAAAAGCAGCAGGTAGGCGATCCCTACATAAATGTTTTTTCATCATTTTTAAAGCTAATATACCTCTTTGTGACATGCTTCCTAATCTTGACCTCTTCCCAATGTTTTTGGAAATCTGAAATATAGTAAGCAATACTGATTCTTTATATATATAATTATTTACATATATAATTTTAAAAGTATCCCTTAAAGTCTAAATACTGCCCCCATGATTGAGAATCCCTGTTCTACAACTTACTTCCACAAAACAGAGATTCCTGGACTATGGTTGGCTTCTCTGACTCTAGGTATTTAAAGAAAGTAGAAGAGTCATCTTAGTGCTGCCAGTGAAACAGTGCTGTGTAACTGTTCTTTTCCTCCTTTTTTGTAGCAAGAAAATAAGCATGGAAGAAATGTTCATAAAATGTATCAAAGTCACCAATGGAAGATGATGTCTGGAATCCCTAAAATTCTGTGAATTAGGAAGGGCAAACACATGGTGGAAGCATCCTCAGTTCCAAAAAAAATATTTCTTTTATTCTTATACACATAAATGCACCTCCCTTTCACTCATATAATCTCTGTGGGTTTGCTTTAAAGCAAACTGTTCTGAGTCTGCAGTTAGACAAAAGTGTCAAATGTTTCTTAACTAGTCTAGGATTACCAATGCTAAGCTCTTTTCTGGAAGTTAATTGTTCAAATATAGTTTCTCTATAGCAGTGGTTCCCAATCTTGGGTCCCCAGATGTTCCTGGACTACAACTTCCAGAAATTCTAGCCAGCAGAGCTATCGGTGAAGGCTTCTGAGAATTTTAATCTAAAAACATCTAGGGACCCATGTTTGGGAACCCGTGCTCTATAGAGTTCTCTCTCAAATATTTAGAACTGGGAAGCCACCAGAGTTTGGAGGTGTCAGAAAGTCTGACACCTCAAGCCACATAGGGACATGGAAGAAGGAAATGGGAAAATCCTTCATAATATGGAGATAATAAAAGTGATGTACCTTACAAGTATGGCACAAGAGTTACAAAAGACTGAGTACAAAACACTTTGAATACATGCAATATAGCCACAGTGAATAGTATTATTATTTTATTATCTTGACAAAAAGTGGATTTTAGGTTATTGTTTTTTAAAGGAATGAGCAAGAATTTATGAAACTAGCATATGCTTTGAGATAACGGAAATTTGGAAGCAAAGAATGTGTGAAAAATAAAGTCATCTCCCAAAGCTCTGCCAATGACCAAAGCAAACATTTCCACTAAGGTTCATCCTGCAATAATCCTAGTGTATTGGCTGCTTATTTACTTTTCCCCCTCCAACATTTGAATCTGAATCTGAAACACATTGCAATAAATACTGCAAATGTTGAACCATTTTTCGTCATTTTGGAATTATTGATACCATCATGAGATGCAACTGCCGTTGGAAATATAAAAGGGGTACTTAAAATTTAATTCAGTTATCCATTTGAACAGCTTGAATGGCATCCAAGGGAATACTTGCATGAGTTGGATACGGTAGAATTTGCCTATAATGCATGATAATACACATATTTACAATAGAAAGTCTCTTGTACCTCTTGGTTTGATGAGTCTTATTTTATTCATTTTAGTTTTAGGTGTTGTTTTTGTTTTTGTTTTATAATTTCCCTGCGGAAAGCTAAAGGCTTAGTTCTTTCTGGGAGAGTGCAAACAATTGTACACTCAAAGCAATAATGAATGATTGTTATCTCCCAAATCTATTTTCTCTTTAGTTTTCTTAAAATTAAAAAACAGAGAGATGGAGGGGTGGAGAGAGAGAAAGAGAGGAAATGATTTTTCCAATCAGTGATATTTAGGACATGGCATTCACATCAGAATAGCCTGTTCAGATCCAAAACAAATGTTTGGAGTCAACCTCCGGGCACTTTGCTGATTGTTTCTGTGCAGCCTCAGTCATGCTGCCTTGCTTAATGCTAAAGGTGTCACAAAATGCCCATGAAACAAGCATTAAGGCAAAAGTTTGTTAATAAGAGAGCACTTTTATATTAACACTGTGGGTGTTCCAGCACAGATAATGACCCACTGATGGAGTGGTTTCATCAGGATACCAAAGGGGGGAGTAAATTATTTAACAGAATATTGTCTGAAGCAAATGTCAGCAGAAGGAAAATTGCATTCAATAAACGTGGCTCAAGAGTGAAATGGAACCAATTTTCTGAATAATGTACCTTTCTGCTTCAGTAGGGTGTACTGTTGGTTTCAAGGGTCAGGAAAGCTTTGAGGTGTTTTAATTATGCTGGAGTAATTGTTTCTCATTCTAGCTACTAGTGGTACTCTAAAACCTTCTGATCCGAGGCACATATACAAACTATTATGCCAATGTGGTGGAAATGATTGTCTATATGGAACCGCTTGGAATCCAACAGAAATAACTTTTTGAAACTCAACATTGTTGAAAAGAAGTTGAGGCATATGAAAAAGTAGCAGCTATTACTTCTGGGAGGAAAGGGAATTTTCCCCATAGTTGAATAAATATTGTATGAACCAACTTGAAGCAAAAGGATAATTACGTGATATTTACCCAGCAAGCAGGTGCACCAATTCTGGTTACTGCTTTCTACTTTGTGTTTGAGCTACAGGGAATTTTAACCTTTTGAACTTTTTCTCCCCTGTTTTGTTTTCAATCTCAGTTTCCCTGGAATCTAAAATGGCAAAAGAAAGTCAACATCAGGCCCTGGCGGCCCTGCCAGGTACCACGGCGATAGTAAATAACGTCACAGAACCATCAATTCCTGGAGGAAAGGGAGGACCAAAAGAAGATGCATTTTCAAAGTTAAAGGAAAAATTTATGAATGAACTGAACAAAATTCCACGTAAGTGAAAATTCCATCTTTGTTGCTGCTGGTGATGGTCAAGAGCAATGTTTCAAAGTTCGTTTTTATTTATATTTCTTTATTAGACTAGGCTGATTTTTAATGAATCATTAGCTTTTTTTTCTGCTACAAAAATCCTGGAAAGAACCAAAGGATATGGGTACTTTCATTGCTTGCCTGATGGAATGATTGATATAAATAAAATTAGGCGATAATTCGCAGGATGTGGTGTTGATTTGGTGGGATCAAATTCTGTTGTTTCACTAAAAGATTAAGACCAAAAGACAATGTGGTTATTAACTCTCCAATGTTACCACCCATGGAAATCTTTCCCTCCACAGTCCTCTCCAGCCCTTGGAGGTGCTTGGATATATATATCACCCTAATAGGGGTTTTAAAGTTGTTCAACAGATGTTTAGAAATTTTTTTAAACAGGAGACATGATGGTTTTGGACAAGTAGGACATGTTGCTTTACTTTATTTCATATTCCCATTGATGTGTACTAGAGGGTAGCCAACCCTCCTAAGCAGGTATGTGTGACGCATAGGGGAGGATTTTCCTTTCCTACTACCACTGAATTCCAGTACCCTTCAGCAGACATCCAGACAAGAAGCCCACTCTAAGAATACAATCCTGTATTTATTCTTTAGAAAGAAAGCCCCATTGAGCACAGCAAGAGCTGTTTCTGAAAAAAATATGTGTAAGATTGGCCAGCCAGATTGTTATTTGTCAAGGATTGTTAAAATACAATTTCCCACATCCTATTATCACTGTAAGCATAAGATTTTTCAACCCTCTGTTTACCCCATAATATGTACTTTATCTTACATTTTTTTTTAAAAAACTGGGAAAATAAATGTTTAATTTACAGAAAGACTAGAACTATATAGGGATGTGGAGGGACGTGGTGGTGCTGTGGGCTAAACCGCAGAAGCCTGTGCTGCAGGGTCAGAAGACCAAGCAGTCGTAAGATCAAATCCACATGATGGAGTGAGCTCCCGTCGCTTGTCCCAGTTCCTGCCAACCTAGTGGTTCGAAAGCATGCATAAGCGAGTAGATAAATAGGGACCACCTCAGTGGGAAGGTAACAGTGTTCTGTGTCTATGTCGCACTGGCCATGTGACCACGGAAGATTGTCTTCGAACAAAACGCTGGCTCTATGGCTTGGAAACGGGGATGAGCACCGCCCCCTAGAGTCGAACACGACTGGACAAAAATGGTCAAGGGGAACCTTTACCTTTACCTTAGAACTATATATGATGAAGTCCCCTTTTCAGCCTTTCTTTTAACAGCAATGTGACTTATCCTTTGCCTATATGTTGCCAAAGTAAAAACAGGATGGTCAGCTCTCATGTCTTTTATTTTACCAAAAGCCTTGATGCACCCAGTGAATTATATGAGTGAAAAAACATAAGGGAGCATGGGATTGATGCTGAAGCTGCTAGATGGAAAGATTGAGTAGAATAAGTCCTACAACAACATGTTTCAGTTTATTATTCCAAGTGACATGGGTCTTTACGTCAAGAATTTGAGAATACATATTTCTCTGTAATTGTGTTAGCTCTTAACACAATATTCCTATATGTATCATACAAGCCATTTTCTAAGAGGAAGATTGTGTTTGATGATGGATGCCTGAAATATTTATTTTAAGTGCCAGAGGGACCCAGTTTAAGCAGTTGAGTGTGTGCTTCTATGCTTGTGAAAGGACATGACATTCATGGTGAGTTCCACCTTTAATACCTTAAGGCATGCCTTTGTATGAGAAATCTTTGTGTAGCAGTGAGGGAAAGCCAAACAGAAAAATAATTTCCTGTTCAGTGACAGCAAAAAGTGTTATTTTTTCTCTATATCAAATTAGGCATTGACATGAAAGGGGGAGAGGTGTGTAGGAAGGAGGATGAATGGAACATCAAAGAATGAGGAAAGAAATAAAATTGAAAAGGCCAGATAAGGAGCAGAATCATTAGGAAAGAGATTACTCATACTGAGGATCTAACTAGCTGATACTCTTAGCACATTTTTAAAAGAGATGCTTCCTCAGCTGATGAAAGGCAGCAGTTTGTCACAGCATGGGGTTTTTGCCAGGTACATACCTAAGCAAGCTTTGGTTAGTGATTGGTCACTTGGCAGGTAAACACAAGTTTAATTTGCAAGTCTTATTGCTGAGGAATGTATCTCTGTGGAAATCCTGCTGTGGAGAAGAAAAGCTGATTGGAGTAAATATACATTCCTCTTAATTTCTGGTTTGACGTTGACATGTTCTTTGTTAGTCTTAGTACACAAATATCTTGAAAATTTTAAAGGGTAAGCATTTGCAGAACAATCCTTTGCATTTCTAGTGAGAAGTTAGATTTCAGTAGTTGAATATTGAATTGCATTGATATTTGCAATTGATTGATATTCTAAATTAGAAACATTGTTTAATTTCTTTTCATGCTTCCCTTTTATTCTCAATTTCACAAATAAAACAAGCATGTTCCCAAATATGTGTGCAGCTGTCCCGTCTGCAATTCTTAGGTCCCCTTTGGGAGGTACATGTGGAGTTTTGGTATATAGGAATATATTCAGGATAAGGCTGTCACGGGTAGTCATCATTTCAATTTAACTTGATTTATTAATTTTATTCATATTATTTAAATGTCATTCACAAGATGAAGGAAATTAATGTAGAAAAGTGCAATGGTACTGACTGTAGTGCAATAGTACTGACTCTTGAAAACATATATATGCAAGATTTCAGCTTTAATGTAGGTTCTTCATATCTGAACCATTTCTCTGTCATAAGTGACTAGTTTTCCTCCACTTATATGAGCAGAATATTCAGGCATTTGTTGCTGGCATGTGAAATATATTAAGATGGTTTGTCACATTGTTCTTTGTAGTGTGAATAAGATGATGGAAGTCATTTTGTTATGGTGACTCACACAATTAAAGTGTGAGGATGCTGTAAAGCAAGTGAAGCATTAACTGCACAATTTTCATGTCTTCTTAGTATCAAAATGCTTGCACTCTTACTTCTGATTTGTGTCCAACTGTAGTCATGTAAATCTTTCAACTCGGGTTACAATAATACTTATGTTCCTATATTTTTTCTGCAAGGGATGTTCAAACTGCTCAGCAACAACAAAAATCTTTTTCTTGGCATGTCCTTAATAGAAAAATCCTACAATTTACAGTATGTGTAATTCTGAATGGAAGCTGATTTTGTAACACATACTATGGCCTTGTCAAACAAACATTTTTTAAATGTCTTCATATCATCTGGATTAAATTCCCATTACTTATCTCTGCGCAAATACGATGCCAACAGTCTTAAGAAAGTAAGGCGTTTATTCTCATTACAGTTAGTAATGAGAAATGAAATCAGAGAGAAAGCAGGTGAAAGGGACAGAAATGTAATGTTAAGAGAGATATAAACCAAAGGAATCCTGGAACTTTTCTTTAAAACAGTATTCTGTTGTGCATGACAGACTAACAAATCAAGTGTATAAAAGCCACCGGTTACTAATCAGCTGCAAATGAAGCTGTCAGTTTAAACAGACAAATTTGGTAAATGGTAAAGGTGAAAGTGTTATAGTAATCTTGAATGTATATGCAATATTGTTAAATAATTGGTTCAAAACATGTTATTTGCTTCTAAAACAAGGCATGCCTCTCCCAGTCTCCTTTTAAAAGACCCTCAGGAATAATCTTCTAGTCACTTCCAGTTTTATTTGGAGAGGCTACTGTAGCCCCCCAGGGTTGCATAAGGCCAAAAAAAAAAAGACCCCTCAAAGCCCCTGGAGTTTATCCACCATGATTTAGCCTTTATTAGTAAAGGGGATTCATAACCTCAGGATCAACACATAGTAAACAGCTATAAACCTGGGGTTTATATGGGGTTATGGATCTCCATTGAGCAGCCCAACTCACGTATTACAAGCTCAGCATGGAGAAAATCAGTCCATTTTAGTTTGCAATCATTACCATTACAATAATCCTTGTTCCGTGTTCATTAATGCTGTGTATAAGTACAGTCCATCCTTAAATCTGAAGAAGTGGAATCTAGCCCTGCTACCTGTTAATTGTCTAGAAGTCAGACGTTTGACCCTTATGTTTTAAAAGGGACTTAATGCACTACTCATTGTTTTTCAGTAGCCAGGCTGCCCTTATTATCGTTATTATTCCAGTCATAAAGCAATTTGTTACATTATGCATTATTAATGCTTTGCATTGTCCTTGCAAATAGGCCAAAAATTTACAGAGGAATACTGTTTCATTCCATCTTGTAGTCAGCTCTGATAGTGCACTGGAAATGTTTATAAAAATAAAAAAAAGACAAAACCAGAGAATACTTTAAAAGTATTGAAAAGTAGCTTTTTAAAGTAACCTACATGTTGCCCTTAAGTAACTCAGATTTTACTTATCTCTAAAAAGCTATTTTAACTACCACCATGTTTCCCTGAAAATAAGACAGGGTCTTATATTAAATTTTGCTCCTAATTTTGCATCAGGGCTTATTTTCAGGGGATTTTTTAAATGTACAACAATCTACATTTATTCAAATACAGTCATGTCATCTTCTTCTGGTTGCTGCACAATGGTGGAGGGTGCGGTTTCACTTAACTGGGGCTTATTTTGGGGGTAGGGCTTATATTACAAGCATCCAGAAAAATCATACTAGGGCTTATTTTCAGGTTAGGTCTTATTTTCAGGGAAACAGGGTAATTTTTTTCCTGATACCAAAACAGTTAAAGTTAAACATGTTACTTTTTATTATATTTGGAGTAACTGTTACTTGCGTCTAGTTCCTTCTAATATCTGGGAGGAGTGGTACAATGAACCATAATAAGTAAGAAATTATTTATGTAAACATTCAACATGTGTTTGTCATATGAAATTGATAGCTTCCTGCCAAGCCAGTCTGTGCTGACTGTTTTGGTCCTATAATGATCAGATTTTAGATCTTGCATCATATCAGTTACTTATACAAATAGGCAAAATCCATGCTCTGCCC